CTACCTATTCAATCTGTACGCTGAGCAGATAATCCAAGAAGCCAGACTGTGAAGAACGGGGCATCAGGGTTGGAGGAAGACTCATTAACAACCTGCGCTATGCAGATAACACGACCTTGCTTGCTGAAGGTGAAGGGGACTTGAAACACTTACTGATGAAGATCAAAGAGCACAGCCCTCAGTATGGATTACACCTCAACATAAAGAAACAGAAACCCTCATAACTGGACCAATAAGCAACATCATGATAAACGGAGAAAACATTGAAGTTGTCAAGGATTTCATTTTACTACGACCCACAATCAACACCCATGGAAGCAGCAGTCAAGAAATCAAAAGACGCATTGCACTGGGTAAATCTGCTGCAAAAGACCTCTTTAAAGTGTTGAAAAGCAAAGTTAGCACCTTGAAGACCAAGGTGTGCCTGACCTGAACCATGGCGTTTTCAGTCGCCTCATATGCATGCAAAAGCTAGACAATGAATAAGGAAGACTGAAGACGAATTGATGCCTTTGAATTGAGGTGTTGGAGAAGAATACTGAATATACCACGGGCTACCAAAAGAATGAACAAATCTGTCTTGGAAGAAATACAACCAGAATGCTCCTTAGAAGCAAGAACGGCGAGAATATGTCTCACATTCTTTGGACATGTTATCAGGAGGGATCAGTCCCTGGAGAAGGACATCACGCTTGGTAAAGTAGAGGGTCAGTGAAAAAGAGGAAGACCCTCAATAGAATGGATTGACACAGTGGCTGCAACAGTGGACTCAAGCATAACAGCTAGGATGGCACAGGACCGGGCAGTGTTTCATTCTGTTGTACGCACGGTCGCTGAGTCAGAACCGACTCTACAGCACTTAACAACAACGACCATTGTCTTTCAAGGAAAAAAACAAACTCGGTAAAGTACCAAAAGGACATCTTATTTTAAGTAATATTGCTTTCTAGTGAATCCTCCAAGGTAAATTAGTAAGTTTATTTATCTTAAAGTAAATTAAATATTCTTTAACAAATAATTTGACTTGCTCAATGGAATTGTTGAATACAAAGTAAGTGAATGTTGGAAAATTCTTGCCAAAAAGGATGATTGGGGTTTTAGAGTGGCTGTGGTATACTGAAGGAGCCCTGGTGGCACGGTGGTTAAAGCACTTGGCTGCTAACCGAAAGGTGGTCAGCAGTTCAAACCACCAGCCACTCTGAAGGAGAAAGATGTGACAGTCTCCTTTTGTAAACATTTACAGCCTTGGAAGCCCTAAGGGGCACTTCTACTCTGTCCTATAGGGTCACTGTGCATCGGAATTGACTGAATGATAGTGGGTTTGGGTTTTTTGGTAGTATATTAGCTGAACTCTTGTCCCCAATTTTCATGCCCTCTTGTATCAACACTCTTCGATAGTGCCTCCCACATTGACTCTGGACGTGGCCATGTGACGTACTTTGGCCAATGGGCAGTAGCAAATTTGACAAAGTACTTGCGTATTTCTGCTTGCTGTCTTGGAACTCTCCACTGCCATGATAGCTTGCTGGAGGATGAGACCATGTGAGACAGAGATGAATTGTCCCAGCTGAGGCCTCCGAAACCAGTCAACACCCAGCTGACCACAAGTACATAAGCAAGCCCTGTCTGATACAGCCACACTTGGTCAAGACCAGCCAAACTCCCCAATCAATGCTAGGTTTGTGAGCAATAATAAGTGGCTGTTGTTTTAAGCCACTGTCATGGATTGAATTGTGTCCCCCAAAAATACGTGCATCAGTTTGGCTAGGCCATGATTCCCAGTATTGTGTAATTGTCAACCATTTTGTCATCTGATGTGATTTTCCTATGTGTTTTAAATCCTATCTCTGTAATGTTAATGAGATGGGATTAGCAGCAGTCATGTTGATAAGACAGGACTCAATCTACAAGATTAGATTGTTTTAAGCCAATCTCTTATGAGATATAAAAGAGAGAAGTGAGCAGAGAGACATGGGGACCTCATACCATCAATAAAGCAGCTACAGGAGCAGAGCACGTCCTTTGGACCCAGGGTAGCTGTGCCTAAAAAGCTCCTAGACCAGGGGAAGATTGATGACAAGGACTTTCCTCCAGAGCCAACAGAGAGAGGAAGCCTTCCCCTAGAGCTGGCAACATCTAGTCTACTAACTTCCTCCAGAGCTGACAGAAAGAGAAAGCCTTCGCCTGGAGCGGGCACCCTGAATTCAGACTTCTAGCCTACTAGACTGTGAGAGAATACATCTGCATATATGACCTCAGCCTAATCTATATCCCACTTCTGAATCCAAACATGCCCCCCACCCCACCCCCGCACCAGCATTTGGAGTGAAGGAAGTATAAGCTATCTGGACCATAACACCCACCCTGATGCTCAGCTCACAAGAGATTCAAACCATCTGGAAACAATCCTCTTTGACTGTCACCAGAAAAAAGTGTCAGCAGTGACCATTGAAACCGTCTACACCCACACACTTACTATCCACATTAGCATGACTTTACTATTCCACTGTCTTCAACGCTGGTCTCCTAGTTCTGCTGCCTCTGTTTCTCTGCCATCGCTTCTCGCCAACTTCAGTGTTACAGCTCTCTCTCTTGGTCTCCTGGTTCCAGGAGCTTCCCATTGCAGGAATCCTGGGTCCAATGGGTGCACTCCGCTCCTGGCTCTTCTTCCTTGGTGGTAGTGAGATCCTCTCTTCCCGCCCCTGGTATGGCTCTTTTCAAGCCTAGAAAGATGGTAAAACTGACCAATCTCCTTGGTGGGCCACAATTCCTTTATTTGCACAGTCCCACCCAATCACTTGGGTGGGAGTTACAAGACCATGGCGAGAAAGGCCACATAAAAGCGATCCATCACCCGGCAACTCTATTATCGTTCAACCTTTGTTTATTGTAAAAAAAAAAAAATATAACACATTTGCCAATTCAACTTTTAGTGTACCATCTAGTGCTATCAATTAATTATAATTAGCGCCAAATTTCACCAAAAACACTCACTACTTCCTAAACATTGGCCCTCCCTCATTCAATCTTTTTTAATCAACAATCTGTTGACGTGGGAAGATTCAGAGGTCAGGTTTTGAAAGATTCTAGGAGAGTAAAAGTCCCTGGGTGGCGAATGGTTAACGTGCTCAGCTGCTTACTGAAAGGTTGGAAGTTTGAGTCTACCTAGAGGCACCTCAGAAGAAAGGCCTGGTGATCTACTTCCAAAAAGTCAGCCATTGAAAACCCTGTGGAGCACCGTTCTACTCTAACACTCATGGGGTTGTCATGAGCTGGAGTTGCCTGGATGGCAACTGGTCAGGAGCGTAAAAGGGATTTCCACCAGCTGTCTGCCAGTTTGTCATACTGTGGTGGCTTTGAGGTTGCTATGAAGTTATTGGCACCAGTATTTCAAATACCATCAGCGTCAGCCATGGTGGATAGATTTCAGCAGAGCTTCCGGACTAAGACAGACTAGGAAGAAAGGCCTAGTGATCTAAAAATTAACCAATGAAGATACTGTGGATCATAACAGATTATTGTCTAATGTAATGCTGGAAAATGAACTCCTTCGGTTGGTTGTTGGGCCATTGAGTCAATTTCCACTCACAGTAGAACTGTGAGAGCAGAACTGCCCTATAGGGTATTCTCAGCTGCAATTGGAAGAAGCTGATTAGGCCCAGCTCACTATTATGACTCCCCATTGCTGACCGCCACATTGTCTACAAAAGGTTTAAGATTAACCGATGTTCCTCCTTGGAGGGTGGAAAACAAGCGATAATGATCTAGGGAAGAAAAACCGAACAAAGCACTCATCTTGTGACAAGAAAACCAGGATGTCACTAGATAACCCCCAAGAATACCAGTAAAAGATTAACTCATCTGAGACATGACCACCTCAAGGGGGAACTAACACAAACTTTTAAACCCACAATCCCGTCCCCTATAAAAGCCTTCAGCCGATCTCCAGTGGGAGGAATCTATTCCCCTCTGTCTCCTATACATACAGGTTTTTTTGAGGAATCTATTCCCCTCTGTCTCCTATATATCAATATATAATAAACCTCTTGCTGCTCACCTCACCCGTCTCAGAATTGGCTATTGCGGCAGGCGGCTCCATTCCGCGTTATTGCGGTAACACAATTTTTACAGAAGCAGATTGCCAGGTCTTTTCTCCCTCAGAACCACTGGGTTAGCAGTCCAACACTTTGTTTTTGCCACCAGGACTCCTTAGTTAGAAGGCACTGAAAATACACAGTGGCCGCTAGCAACAGACTCAAACACACCACCCTAAAGACGGTGCAATACCAGGCAATGTTTCGTCCTGTTATAAAGTGGGTCGTCATGAGTCAGAGCCATCTTGAGGGCAACTAACAAAAACAACAAAGGGGATTTCTATTTCCCGGAAGAAGCAGAAAAAGGGAATATAGATACCGGTTAAGAACGTGCATTTTGTTTTTAAATCTATCTGGGTAGGAACCTTGGCTTTAACATTTCCTAGCTTTGCGGTCTTGGGGAAATTATTTACCACGTGTGAACTTCAGTTTCCCCTTCTATAAAATGGAGATAATCATTAACTCGTTAAGACTGGCCGTTAACTAAGATATTATACATAAAGCAAATAACAGAGCCTGGAACATATGAGTCCTTGATACGTTGCTGTCTTCATTAATGATTTTAATCTTCACCGTCACGTCCCCAGCACTTCCGACAATGCCCAGCACACAGGCGACGCTCCACTGTGTGTGTGTACATATGTATACATATATATATGTTTTTATGAGGACGGGTGCTCTCCCTTGGAAAGAAGAGGCATACCTGCCCTGATGTTGGTGGCTGGGTCTGGGATATTAAGCCCAGGAGTGGTGGTTTCCAGGTCAGAAACCACAAAAAAAACAACCTCCCCGCGCCAACACTCGATTGCGAGAAAAAACCCTCAGCCTCAGACTCAAACGGCCTAGGCTTCTTGCGCATGTGTTGACCGGAAGGCGCGGCCAGCGACTAGCCCGATTGATCGACGTGATCGAAGATCGTCTGCTCAGTTCTGGCTGCGGGAGCTGCCCTCGTTCTCGCGAGGCTTCATTCCTGGCGGCTGAGGACTAAATTAGAGGGAAGGGCGTGCGCAGCTGGAGCCAGTGGGAGCGTGAGGCCGCGGCACGCAGCGCTCCCAGAAGGCTGTTCGCGCCCCTCGCTTCCTCTAGGAGCTGCCGAGAGAGCGCGTGAGCGTCTGTGTGCAGCCTGGCCATGGCGCTTCACGTCCCCAAGGCTCCGGGCTTTGCCCAGATGCTCAAGGAAGGAGCGAAAGTAAGAGATGGAGGATGGGGGGTCAGGTGGGGGAGTCAGCGTGGGGCTGCGGTCGCCGCTTGTCAGAAGGGCCTCCTAACGGGCCGGACGCGGTCCCCCGGCGCCGCGGGCGGGGAAGGAGAAGATTCCAGAAAAGGAGGAGTGCTCAGTACGGGGCTCGGCCGCCGAGGCCCGCGGGCATTTCAGTTTCTTCCCGGCCCCGGGAAGGCCAGGTGGGCGGAGGGGCAGAGGCGGCGGGCGAGGGTCGAGGCCGCAGGATTTGCGTTTACTTCCTAGCTGGGCGAGCGCAAAGCTCTTCGTGCACGGTTCCTTCATCCGTCAAATGGGGCTGATTAGGTTCCCCACCTTTAGAGGGTATCGTGAGGATGAGAACTGCTTTGGGTCTGCGAGGTGAATTTTTGCACAGCTCTTGGTGTAGTGTTTGAGGTTATGGGATGGGAAGGGCCAAGGGGAGGGAGATGTAACAAGGGGAGCGTAGAAGCAAGGACCAATTCTTGGTCGACTCCTTCCAAATGAGAAACGGAGGGCTCCCGCATTGCGTTTTTAACTCGCAGAAGCAGGTGTTAGAGTAGAAGAGATACTGCGTGCAATCCATGTGGGGTCTGGTGCCAACTTCTGTGACCTGGGTTGGGGTAGAACTTAGCCCGTTAGGTCTTCGTTCCTCATCTTTAAATTGAGGAGATTGGACCAGCAGACGGTACTTTTCCAGTTCTAACCATTTGACTTAACTGTGTAACCCCCAAGATAAGTGACACTGACCCCAATAAAATCATTTTGTTTAATGGTCAGGTGTTGAACATTCAAACAGTGGTGTTCTGGTACTCCTTCCCCAGATTTTCTGTGCTTAATGAAAGAAATAGATCAGTGTGGTTGAATTTAAGGTTTTCTGGGAGGTAGAGAGGACACTCACACTTTCAGAAAGCTGGGTTCGTAGTGCTTGCAGGATGCACTTTGGGGATAACTTGGGTGTAGTAATGTTAGTGTATAATGTAAATGTTGGGGAAGCATCTTTGCTGAAATGGGCAGTGGCTGCTCCCCTAAAAAAAAAAAATCAGGATGAAGACTTTTCATTAATATGGATTTGGAAAATTGTTCTGTATCACAAAGTGTTATTTAAATGTCATTCAGATGGTAGTAGTTTTCTGCAGATCGCTGTATGTGAGATGATCATTCAGTAAATAGAGACTTGCAGGATGAAAGACAGAAGTCTCAGCTGTCCTACAGTTTCTTTTGAGGAAGAAATAATAATCAAATCAACAAGGAAGAGCATTTCAAGTAGTGGCCTGAAAAAGACAAATAGTAACATAGTAGAGAATGACAGGAAGTTAAAAAAAACTGCCTCCCTGAAAAATAAAAGGGTCGGGGTAAATAAAACAAACGAGATGAACGCTTAGCTTAGTGCGGAGTTGACAGGATGGACCAGCCAGGATCAGGTGGAAGTGTTCAAGTACAGAGACCCTGAGGATGAAATGAATTTGACCTGTTAAAAGAACAGGAAGAAGGATGATGGGGCTGAAGCTTACCAAGGGAAGACACGAATGAGAAGAGATGAATTTAGAGGAGCCGTAGGCAGGGGCATGGAGCCCTCGTGGCGTGGTGGTTAAGCACTCAGCTGCTAACAGAAAGGTCGGCAGTTTGAACCCACCAGTCACTCCATGGAAGAACGTGACCATCAGCTTCTGTAAAGATTTACAGCCTTGGAAACTCTATGGGGCGGTTCTACTCTGTCCTACAGGGTCTATCATTTCAACTTTCAAAAACAGGACTTTTAAGAACGTTAAGAAGCAGCAGGATTTGGGGAGGAATAAGTTCACCTGGGAAATTAAATATACCAGAATAGCCAGAAAAGACTGGGTCACCATGAGTCTGGATCGATTCAAGGACAACAGGTTTTCATATGCAGGGGTGAGACCATGTTGGACCTTGTAGCCCTGAAGAGGGATTTAGGTTTCATTCTAAGAGTGATGGGAAACCATAGAAGGGTCTTAAGTACAGGAGTGGTGGGGTCTGAATTCTGATTTAAAAAAAAAAAAAAACAGTTTGTTTCCCAGAATGAGGGTGGGGGCAAGGAGCAAGAGTGGAAGCCAGGAAATCAGACTAAATACCACTCTACAGGAGTCCAGCTCGTTTGACTGAAAAAACTTCTAAAGGCGTCCTTACGCTGTTTTGAATCACAGCTGCTTTTGTGAATATTTTTAAAGCGATGCCTTATCTTCTAGAACAGTTCAGCCCAGAACTTTCTGTGATGATGGAAATGTTGTGTGTCTGCACCAATATGATAGCCACTATCCAGATGTGATTACTGAGCACTTGCACTGTGACTAGTACAACTGAGGAACTGAATTTATTTTAAATAGCCACTGTGACTCATGGCTGCTGTATTGGACAGCGCAGCTCTAGAAAAATGCTCACGTGTGCAAGAAGCTCGTGAAGCCTGAGGCCCCAAATTAATTCCAGCTGTAAAAAAGAGTCCGGTGTAAAATTGGAGAATTTTAGTATTCTGAGCATTTCATCAGTTTTTCAATATGTACGCGTAGGAATTGTGTTGTAATCAAAATACCATTCAGAAATCTGTGTGCTTTAGTCCCTAAGTATTTGGGGGCAGATACTTAGTTTCGTTTACTTTTTAAGTGGGAATTCCCACTGAACACCTAAGTGCTGGCCGTAAAACCTAGGCTGTTAACACAATAAGAAAAATGTCCATACCACATTTTAGCTTTTAGTTAGAAAATACAGATAAACTCTGAAAAGGTGTTTTACCTGAAACACTTTCTCTGATCAGTCTGGCACTCTTCCCCACACTGCCTTTCTGCATTAAAAAAAATGTATGTAGGCTTTATGTTTTGATGTATAGGTAGACACCAGTGGTCCCTAAAAATGTCATGCTTTATTCATTCAACTAGTAAGCAAATTTATGGCTCACTTGTGAATACCAAGCACTGTGCTTTACATACATAAGTCTGTTTGATTGTCTCAACAGTCCTGTGAAGTAGACACTGTTGCCCTCATTTTACAGATAAAAAAGTGTCAGGAATTGTCTGCGGTCAGGTAGTCAGTTAACTGGAAAATTAAGATTTGTAGCCAGGCAGTCACACTCTGAACCCCATGTGCCAAATTCCTAACCTATAGACTACCTCTTTATTATAAGCAAAATATGCAAAGACATCTATTGTCTTTGAAAATTCTTGTGTGTCACTGTCCTGTCTAATCCGAAGTGTTTTACAGCATTTTTCAGGATTAGAAGAGGCTGTCTACAGGAACATTCAGGCTTGCAAGGAGCTTGCCCAAACCACTCGGACAGCATATGGACCAAATGGTAATTTCTAAATGCACTGGAGTCAAAATGGGACTTTTTATCCCATTGAGAGAATAGAAAAATCATAGCATTTTCATCATTAAGGTAGTGCCTACTGTTCATTGTGACAAACTCAACATTTCTTTTAACTAAAGCGACGTACTTTAAAGAAGAAAATTTCTCCATCTTGCCCCCTCCCACCAACTGAGTTTAATTGATATAGATTTATAGAATAAATATACTTCTAAGTGGCTGTGTTGGTCTTTTATGCATTATTATAGTTCTATTTATTGAGCACTTGCTTCATGCTAAGCATGTTGCAAATGGAAGATACATAAAGTATTATAAGGCAAAGTTCTGCTCTCCAGGACTTTGCAGTATTGTTGAAAGCAGAAGATACTTGTTTTTTAAAAAAAGTGAAGTCAGCAAAAATGTGATAAGATTTGTCATCCCCCCATTTTAAAGTGTGAATACATTTTATAGTTCTTGACTAGGTTTTCTTGGGTATTTGTGGAAGAACTTGAATAATAATCGTTTTTTTTTTTTTTTTTTTTTTTTTAACTATTCTTTTGAGGAATGAACAAAATGGTTATCAACCACCTGGAGAAGCTGTTTGTAACAAATGATGCAGCAACTATTCTAAGAGAGCTAGAAGTAAGTAACATCAAACATTAAGTATATTGTCACCCAGAAGAAGAAATCACTTTTATTTCAGATTAGATAATAGGGACTACGTTGAAACCTGTGAGAGCCGGGACGGCCTTGTTTTTTTGGGTCTCTCAAGTTTTCCTCCTTTGACGGGCAGTCTTAACCATTTTCTCTTAACGGGTTTCCGTCTTACACGGGTTCTGGCTTTCACAGGTTTTACTGTATAGCTGATTTTTTACAACTTAAAATTTATCCAGGCTTTCTTAATTGTAAAGAGTTCTCTTTAGGTTTAACATTTTAGGCACTAAAAAAAGTATCAAGTTATTAGTTTATGAAGCGATCAGTTGTGATACAAGTATATATGTTAATAATCAGATGTAACTGGTTCTGTTGTCTCATAGATTGACACTGACGTGAATTATTCCATAATGTAGAATAGCTGGTCCTTAAAACAGCTGTTTTGAACAACCGTTTGTTTGACTCTGAAAATAAAACAGGTGATGGGATTTTGCTTCCCTGAGCTTCAGTTCTGATGTGACAGAGTCTCTAGGATGGGTACTGCCGTCAGCGTTAGCGAGAAGGTCTGGCACGCCCTAACACAGCCATTCCTTTTTCAGTCGGTCTGTCGCTGAAGGATTATAGTTCAACCTCAGGGAGTTTTTTGTAAGCTTAGCCCTTAAGCCACCAGAAGTTTATCTTGTATTTTAAATGAAACTATAAACACATTCACATTTCTCTAATCTCTTAAATAGCAACATACTCTTAAAGATATAGACCAAACCTTAACACATACTTTGTGATGGGACTTGGGGAATGTTGATTTTATACACAGTGGTGATGTAACGGGCATACTGTATTCATATTAACCATAGTACTGACTTTTTAGGTTTGTTTTTTAAGAAAAATTTTATACTTTTTTTCTTTAAAGTTATGAGTGATGTCCGTTACAAAAAGAACATACACACAGTCAGATAAAGATTGAGGCCCATGAGAAGAAAAGCAATGTCTGTTTCCAGAGCCTTTTTTTTTTTTTTTTTTTTATGTCTAGATTTAGTGGTTGGAGCTATTTTGGTTTTTATTTTGATGAACACATAATGAGGTACGGAACCTTCCGTAAAGATGACTGACCATCAGAAGAGGTACACTGGGAAGTTATTTACATTCATAGTGATGCATTTGTGTGGCTAGGCCCAGAGAGAATTGCAGTTTTTTCTTGTGCTCGCGCTATAAGTAAGCGTATAGCAGTGGGATCAAATGGAGTTGCTGGGCCCCCAAGGAAATAAAAGTCTTGGTTTAAGAAGAAATGGAAATGAATGGTTTTGTACTGCTTTAAAGATAAAATGTTTCAGCTTGATGTTTAAATTCAAACCTCTTCTACCAGGTACAACATCCTGCTGCAAAAATGATTGTAATGGCCTCTCATATGCAAGAACAGGAGGTTGGAGACGGCACCAACTTTGTTCTGGTGTTGGCTGGCGCTCTTCTGGAATTAGCTGAAGAGCTTCTGAGGATTGGCCTTTCGGTTTCAGAGGTGAGCGTTTCTCTGTAACTATTTAACTTTTGCCGACATGTACCTACTGCCTTAAATTTAAATACAAATTATCATCATAGTAATAGCTAATATTGTGTTTACTCTTGCCAGGCATGGTAGTACACATATTTGACATTTATTATTTTATCCTCCCAAGAGCCCTATGCGTGAGGCCTATTAAAATAAACCCTGTTTTGTATGACACAAAGTGAGCTGGAAGCTTACATAAAAACACCCTACCCAAGATCTTGTAGTTAGTAAGTAGTGGAGTTGGGACTCAAATTTGAGCTGTCACCAGAGCTATCGGCAGAGCCTCCACGCTCAACTCGTAGGTTCTGCCACACGGGTGGGTTTTTTGGTGGGGGGGGGGTGCTTCTTTATTGTTTTATAGTGAAAATACCCGTTTCTCTTGAAGAAGAGCAGTTCCTCTATCCAGTTTTTCTTCTTTACATTTCAGGTCATAGAAGGTTATGAAATAGGCTGTAGGAAAGCCCTTGAGATTCTTCCTGATTTGGTCTGTTGTTCTGCAAAAAACCTCCGGGATGTTGACGAAGTGTCATCTCTTCTGCACACCTCCGTCATGAGCAAACAGTATGGCAGTGAGGGCTTTCTGGCCAAGCTTATCGCTCAGGCGTGTGGTAAGTCAGCGGCAGAGAATGCAAGGGTCGCCGATGACAATGTCTTTGTTTTCTCTCTCATCCCAAGATCCCTTTTGATATGTTTCCTTTTCTTAACAGTGTCTATTTTTCCTGATTCCGGCCATTTCAATGTTGATAACATCAGAGTTTGTAAAATTCTGGTAAGTTGAGAAAATTGGTAACGTTACCTAGATAAGTCGTCGTTCTTTGCAAGAGTATTTGTGTTATCTGACCTAGTTGTTCTCTCATGTTTTGGACGCTGAGGACTTAACTGCCTTTGGAAAGGTGCGTCAGTTTATAGTGTTTGGTATTTCTAGGTGGTAATGCCACTGCCTTTTAAATTTGAAAGAGTATTGACATACTATCATAATATTGTGAAGTCATCATTTCTCCGTGACGGCGGACAGATTGAAAACGGTGCATAAACAAAACGTTAATTCTTTTGGTATTCCTGACTTAGAAAGCAATCTGGAATGGGATGAAGATCGTCCTGTTGGCTGTATGATACACTTCACACTAGGGTGTTAGTATTGAGATAGGGTATATTTTTGATGAAACCGCTTGATACAGTAAAATATATACGTGGAATATGTGCACATTAGCATTCTAATTGTGAACGTAGTTGGGTTTGGGCTGTGTGAAGTGCATGTGATACGTATATATACGTATGTGTGTATATGGAGTGCCAGGTTACATATACACACGCGTATACTGTACACACACGTACACCAACACCAGCGTGTACTGTCGTGCCTGGTACATTGCAACCAAGTATGTACTTGGGGAGTGAGGGAGTGAACAGCTGAGAGCGACTGTTCTCGACCTCTGGTTCTGAGTGCACTGAGGGCCTCCCTCCCTAACAGTTGACCATTCCGTGGTGGTTCCTTGCCTCGAACAGAGTGTAAATGCTGTGCTTCTCCCCCAGAGGCACTGCCTTGGTATGGAGTTGATTTTAGAAAAGGATGCTTTTGGTACTGCAGAATCGTAACTTAGCCCTAATACCATTTTTATGAGCTCACCGATGGATGATTTTGGTGTTTGCTCTGCAGGGCTCTGGCGTCTATTCCTCATCCGTGTTGCATGGCATGGTTTTCAAGAAGGAAACGGAAGGTGATGTAACGTCTGTCAAAGATGCAAAAATAGTAGTATACTCGTGTCCTTTTGATGGCATGATAACAGAAACTAAGGTATGTAGACTCAAAACTTTAAAATTAAACGTCACAATTTGAGATTGTCCTTTCCAGATTGTTTTATGATCCTAAAATTTTGAGGTAGAGTTTGTTCTTTTCCAGTGAATATTGTATAATTACTGAAAACTGCCAGGTCATATCTTTTTAAAATCTGGTTTATATTCTTTGAATTTCTAAGTTCACAAAAATACTAAACTTGAAAAAATACGGTGGCAATATTATTTATATAGTAATGTACAGACCTTGGCTTTAAGTAGTGCTTGTCCATTAAGCAAGCTGAAGCGCTCACTGCAGAGAATGGGAGTGCCCGCACTGTGCTCTTCAGGAAAAGTATTACTTAACAATGCTCTAGAGTCTGAAACAAAATTACGCTAATAGAATTTAAAGTTGACAAGTCTTTTGAAGCTTATGTTGAAAAGTTTGAAGTTTATGGTTACAGTCACTTTTGATTTCTCTAGAATTCTTGAAATGCAAGTGGTTGGCTTAATTTTTTTTTCATGGAAGAGAGAAGGTGTTTGGCATTTCGTCCACAGACTTTAAAGTTTGAGAGTAACAATTTGTTGTTTTGGTGACATGAATTGACCTTTGTCCAGAGAGAGACTCCCTAGACAGCTGCCCAGCATAGCTAATGTAACGGTCCTCCTCCAGCTTTCTCACCAGAGGGCATTTGGTTTTGAGGGGGAAGGGCTACTAGCAAGCTGGGCTTCTATTAATTCCATGTAGATTTTGTATTTTTTTCATCAAAATATAGTTTTATCTTATTTTCTCTCAATTTTTTAAATTATTTCCTTAGTAAAATGTTACCTGTGACTTGAACACCAGAGTATTGAAATAGTTTAAAGAGGGTGCTTGCTTGCTTGTTTTGCAGGGAACAGTATTGATAAAGACAGCTGAAGAATTGATGAATTTTAGTAAGGGAGAAGAAAATCTCATGGATGCACAAGTCAAAGCTATTGCTGATACTGGTGCCAATGTCATAGTAACAGGTGGCAAAGTGGCAGACATGGCTCTTCATTATGCAAACAAATACAGTATCATGTTGGTGAGGTAAGAAAAAGCTGTGTTCTGTTAAGCTGGCATTATAAATGGTTATTTGGTGGTGGTTCAACAACTCAGCCAACTGTGAAGACTTTTAGGGGAGGAAAAGTATAAGGTATCAGGTGAAATAGCAGAGGGGCTTAACCTAATCCAGGGGAACAGGAAATGTCTCTGATGAAACGTACATTTAAGCTGAGAGCCCGGAGCATCAATCAACAGATAGATGTGTGTCAGTTAAAGAGGAAGAGGGAAAAGCATTCCAAGCAAAAGAAATAACTTGTTTAAGAGACCAGATCAAGCCCTGGTGCTAGATTGTGGGGTCAGGAGCACACTTTAGTCCATAAACACATTGATGGGGCACACTGAACAACTTGTTGACCCATTCCTGCCTCTGTCACCATCCCCCGCACTAGCTCTAATCTGCAAAGTAAACAAATCTCTTCTACACGCGATGGCACCAAGTGAAGCAAACGTTTTTTGTATAGTCTTGAGTTCTCCAGGGGCTTCCTTGGTGTTTTAGAAGTATAGATTGACATCCTAAGGTGACTTCAACTCTCCCAGTTCTGGGAAAACATAAAAGCTTACAACGCAGCCTTAGGATGTGGCAGTGCTGGCAGGCTGGCCTCTCTCCCTTGGTGCACAGTGCAACGCGGACATCATGTTCTGGGCTGGAACATACGTGGTCAAGGAAAGTGACTTGGGGCCAGTGCAGTTTCCTGTGTAACCCATGTTTTACTGTGCCGTCTGGTGGAATTAAAACTCTAGTAAAAATTTTTTTTTTTTTTTTTTTTTAAAGACTGAACTCAAAATGGGATCTCAGAAGACTGTGTAAAACAGTTGGTGCTACAGCTCTTCCTAGATTGGTATGTATTTTGGAAAACATTAAAAGGTAGTTAAACGTGCTTGGATTATTTTTATTACAATGGTCTTTTTTTCCCCCAGACTCCACCTGTCCTCAAAGAAATGGGCCATTGTCACAGTGTTTATCTTTCAGAAGTTGGAGACACACAGGTGGTTGTCTTTAAGCATGGTACGTAGTAATAGTAAGATGTGTTTAGACAAATGTGAGATGTTTTTTTTACTTAATCCCCAAATATATTTAATTTTTCGACAGAAAAGGAAGATGGGGCCATTTCCACCATAGTACTTCGAGGCTCTACCGACAATCTCATGGATGACATAGAACGGGCAATCGATGATGGTGTTAATACTTTCAAAGTTCTCACAAGGGTCAGTACTAGCAATTATTTAGTGATTTGTAAGGCCTTAAAAACATAATTGGCAGACTCCTGAACACCATGAGATCTTCAAAGTAAACAGCCTGTGTAAAGTAAAGCAGTTTTTCGTGTCCATTGGTGATGAGTATGATAGCTTTCCAGAAGGACTATGCAAAGGGGATACATCACAAAGCAAGGTTTTTTTTTATTTTTTAAACAGACATAGTTCAAGGTTGTTGTCAATTATAATGAACCTTCACTTGCTAACATACCGCTATAGTGTTGTACCTGTGGAAACGTAGATAAGGTATAGTGCCGTCCGTAGTCTTGTGTGGGCTTCCCTTGTCACGTATCAGACACTGTACAGTAAGAGAGTTTGCCTAGATCACTTATAAAGTCTGTAATTACAACAAGTAACAATGCCTGATTAAGAACACGAAGTCTGGTAGAGTTAAGGGAAGCTGGCGAAATTAACACACCGCCTATTAGTGACTGTGTGTTGCTGTTTATTCTAGGACAGACGTCTTGTACCTGGAGGTGGAGCAACAGAAATTGAGTTGGCCAAACAGATCACATCATATGGAGAGGTACAGCTTTCTCTGAATTAAATAACTTTTTTCCCATTGCTTGAATAAAATATAATAACACACACATTTTCATTTTAGACATGTCCTGGACTTGAACAGTACGCTATTAAGAAGTTTGCTGAGGCATTTGAAGCTATTCCGCGGGCACTGGCAGAAAATTCTGGTGTTAAGGCCAGTGAAGTAATTTCTAAACTTTACGCAGTACATCAAGAAGGAAGTAAAAACGCTGGATTAGATATTGAGGTATTTGAGGAAAAAAAACTGTGAACTTAAATTGTTTTGTGAGTGCACAGTCTAAAAACAGAGGCAGTAGTCTTTAACTACAAGACATTTGAGTGAGAAACAGTGTTCTGATCTGTAAGAACATGATTTTCTTAATTATTAGTGCTTACAGAAGTTGTAAGAAAATCTAGTTTTCTTTCTGTCTTGGGGGTAGTGTGTTGCTGTAGTGCTTATGCTTGGTTACTTTGCTGGTACTGTTTCTGAGGAGCTGTATGTTTTTATTGAGTATAAACACGGTTTCGTGTTGACAGGCTGAAGTCCCTGCTGTGAAAGACATGTTGGAAGCTGGCGTCTTAGATACCTACCTGGGCAAGTACTGGGCCATCAAGCTGGCAACCAATGCTGCCGTCACTGTGCTGAGAGTCGATCAGGTGAGTGATAGACAGGGTTCTGATCCTAGAAGATGCTAGTTCTAATTCTATTTAAAGGAGTATTCCTCACTGTTACATCTTAGAGTTGTTAAAGTGCCACAAAAAAAATTTTTCTTTCTGTTAGAATTATAGCTTTAAATTGTATTGAATGTATTTTAACTAATTTAAAATGGTCTTTCCAGTTAAGGAAGCCTTTTGATATCTTTAAATTGGAATGGGTAGAACAAATCTGATCTAGACCCATAGTTTTTCAGCTTTTGTTTTAGCTTAGAGCCGTTTGTATAGATAATCAGGAAGAAGCATTAATAGTAACAGGGCATACGTAAGAATTATTATAAGGGCCCGAAGTGGACACTGCAGACCACCGACTAGACAAGCCTCGGCTTATTTGTGGAGAGGACCTTGGCATTGAAAATTTTCTCTGCTATGACACTATGGCTTGAGGTACTGAAGTATCTTAGAGGTATTCGTATCAGCATTTCTACCCTTTTTTTTTTTTGGAGCACATGTGGCAGAGAGGGGACAACTAGACTGTTACGTATCTCGAGGTGAACTAGAATTCCTGATTATTTTCCAGAAAGGTTTTTTTTTAGTGAACTTAATGAGATTTCATTTCTCCACAAAACTCTCAAAGTAATTATTAAACTGTTTTATTATGTACTTACTTATGTACTTAATATTAGAAAATTGTAATTGCTGGGAGCATGTGTAAAATCAGTAAGCACTAATTAATCTTGGGAGAAGCAAGCCTTAGGTGGAAGTTACTGGAAAAGATGTTAGACTTAATTCTAAGCATAATCACATTGGTGGTAATTACAACAAATTTCAGCTCGGGGTAAGGAAGGATTTCTTCATAACCAGAAATGATCAAAACGGAATCAGAGTCCCGTTTCTACATTGGAAATGAGAGCAGAAGCTGGATGTCCATCTGCCCTTTATTAGTAGGGGGGTTCTTTATTGCTAATGTCTCGTATTTAGAGGTGGTGGTAGAATAATGCTGAATAATTTAAACTATTTTCTCAGCAAAGCTGTTTTGTAATTTACAAAAAAAGTTTTCAGCAGAGAACAGTGTTTTGGAGTTTTTAATAGAAGTGTAAGGAAATGTTATAGAAGTAAACTTGTGGCTAAGAATAGAAAGGGGGAGCAAAAATAGAAGGGAACAGGAAAAGCCAAATAGACTGAAGTATGAGGTAAGCAGAAGTTCTGACAGTGGACGTTCCTTCACTGGGGAACTGTCTGAATGTCAGTTACCCAAGTAAGGCACTAATTGTAACCCTTGGTCACAAAGGCACATCTAAATTTTGGTTCAAAGTGGCAAACCTGTGCTTTATTTTTATAGAAGGGGGAAGTTGTTGATATGTACCCCTGATCTTTGCACTCTATACACAAAGTATGTATCTGAAGAAGCCATGTGACTGTATTAAACAGCTTTATTATTATAATGAACTTTCATTACTTTAAAATCTGGTTGTACCTAATTTTGTGCGGTAGATACACTCTGGAGACTTGCAGACCAGACTTTAAACATTGGGCAGTGTTACATGTAGGGGCTGGATTAATCTTTTCTAAAATGTCTGTTTCACTGGTTCTCAGTGTCCTCAAATCATCAGCATCACTATTACCTGAGAACTTGTTAAAAATTTTCAGCCCCACCCAGACCCATGGAATGAGAAACGTGGAGGGAGGCCTAGCCATGCGCTTCAGTACACCCTCCAGGTGGTTATGATACCCACTAAAGCGTAAGGACTACTGTTCTACTTAAAGTCAAGAAACACTTATGTTCTAAAATTACTGTCTTTGATTCAGTCTGAACTTATTCTCAGTAAAATGTTCCTCCAGGAATTTCAGGTTTACGTTGGTAGTAGCCACCTAATCCCAGGAGCTTCTGAAAAGGGGTGGAGAATATTGAAGGTGTCTCAGCGTGTGTTCCCTGAAACACAAGCCAGGCCCACTGATGTCACGTGGAATTGGAGATCTGTTAGTCATACAAACTTGGGAAGCAACGAATATTATAATCCCAGTTTGGAAATTTAGAGTACCCATTACTTAGAGGTTCAGAGAAGTTCTGTGAAGAAAGTCAATTAATTTCGTTTAATTTAGCTTCCACCAAGTTTGAGGTGAAAGCTACTACCACAACTTAAATCCCTTGAAAATGCTAGGTTAGCACTAAGTTACCAAAGAACTAAATAGAGGCTTGGGCTTTTGTTTGTGAACACTTCCCTGCCACTTGAATGGTCCTTCCTTAACGGATAATAGAAAATGTCAGTGTTGAACTTATATATTTATGTACCAACTGCTTTAGATTATAATGGCCAAACTGGCAGGTGGACCTAAAACTCCTAAACCATAAGGAAATTGGGATAAAGACGATTGGCAAGATATACCACATATATAAAGAGCAAATCAGGTGCCAAACTGACTTCTAGAAGTGATGCATGCCAGTATTTTCACATTCAACTTAATTGAGCTACTGAAGCGTACGTCTTGGAATGCACTTCACTGATGTGTGGATTTTGTTGCTGCTGTTGTCCAGGAAGGCAGGAAGCTCGATGGTGCTTGAAGTTTGCAGGTTAATTTCTAACGAGGAATCTAACAAACTTCCCACTGCAGTGTTTCATATGTGGCATATGACAAGAGTACTGATACTAAAATGATTGCTTTCTCTTGAATCAGGATAAAAAAAATATTTTAAATGTGATCTTTCTCTTCTTTCTAGAGGTTGAGTTTATAACCGTACTTTGTTTTATTGTGTAGATCATCATGGCAAAACCAGCCGGTGGGCCCAAGCCTCCAAGTGGAAAGAAAGACTGGGATGAAGACCAAAACGAGTGAACAGCTTCATTTTACTGTAGGTGAAGGTCGTGTTTGTAGTCGTCAAGGAAATGCCCAAGGGTTTCTTACTCTCCTTGAATTAAGCGCTTTGTGTTTATATTCTCAGTTGGATGGTACAATAAATGTGTTGTTACTATCAGAGCCTCAACTGTCCGATGACCACTGTTAAATGTCTGTTCCATGTAAGTGTTTAATGATCTAGGGACAGCTTGAAAGCATGGGATTAAGTGTTTAACTAACCTTTTACATAAAAAGTTTGCTGATCCCTGGATTAAATTTCCAGAGTCTTTCTCACTCTGGAAATACTCTGGATTTACTATAGGTCTGGAAATGCTAACACTGTAGCATCAGTGAATGATCTGCTGAGTGGCAGACTTACAGATAGTCTAGGAGTAGTCTGGGTTAACGGGAAAGTTGCTAGATTACTAGGAAGGTAACAGGAAATGCTCGTGACAGAACTGAAAATACACTTCCTGATGTGTAAAATTACGCAGGTCAGTTTGATGAAGTAGAGCCTGTTTTTCCTTTAGATCAGTAAGGATTGTTGAAAAGGCAGAAACAACTGTCAACAGTCAGATGATGCTGACTTGGTAAGATGTACTATCGTACGTGTTGATTGTAAGATTCCTGAGTAGCACACTGTTTGAAACCTTATGTTTCTGATAGTCTTTCAAAGGAATTTTGGAGGTAAATATGGGTGACTGGTCTTGGATTAACTCAGCAAGGTGTTAGGACTGTCCCAGAGAGGAGAGGGTTAACTAGGATCGCAAAGAAATCCTAATGGAGAACCTTACCGGAAGGTTAGACGTGCTGCTGTCCTTAAGGTTCTCTGATGTGCAAGCAGCTGAAGCGATGAAAGACATTAGTACACGGGCTTTTCTGGAAGGCTGGCATCTGGGCACCCTGTCCCAGTTACTTACAGCCCCAGGAGGGAGGCTGTGCGGGCAGTACCAGGAGCTTCTACCTGGGCTCAGTGCCACTGCACAGGCAGTGCAGGCTGGGCCTGTGTCCGGCTTCCGCACTGCGCGGCATCGGAAGGACTAGATCACGTGTCTCCTGATCCCATACTGCCTGCCCACATCACACGTCATGCTTCCGGGACTGACACACCTGTGCTGAAGGTTCATTAGCTGGTTGGAAACAGTTTTTTAAAATAGTTAACCTGGTAGGGTGAGTCAATACAACGTAAAATCTAAGTAATAAAACAAGTCTCTGGAGTAAGTCAGTTTATTGATGTGTTTTGACCCACGGCCCACACATGTTAAACACAGGATTTAAGGAATTTCCTTTCCAGAAACTTGTAAACAGGTAAAAACCACTATGACAATACAAAACTATTGTAAATTTGTAGGCATTGTGCCTTGAATATTTCAAAGACCATGATTTCTTCTGGCATATACTTAGTTTTAAGTGAACATAATTTACCATTAGTCTTTACTTTTTTATTATTACAGCCATTATAAAAACCAGAACCGTGTTTTTGGAGAAAGCACTTTTCTGAAACTGTTAGAGTATTCTCTCGTAGAACAGGAGGTATGCTTGTGAGCTCAGTACTTTCGCTGTGGGCACAGCTTGCACGTGTGTATCACTGATGTGGAACCACTGCCCTTTAGTGGATTCCGCGTCAAAATCTGCCAAGAGGAAGTGGAAAATTAAACACAAATGGGAAGACTCAAGTTCCTCAGTGTTTGGTTTCGTCACGATGCCGGAATTTTCCACGACGTCTTACCTTGCGGAATATCACCGTGGAGAACGAGGTTAGAGAGATGACTGTTCGCAGGCCTTGCCTTGGCGTAGGCAGTGTAATGTCCAGACCTCATAGTGCCACTGTGTTCTACGACTCCATATAAGGAATAGAGGACCCTTGTGTTTTCTTCAGCGACATTCTTTAAAAATAAAGAGAATTGAGAAACGTTAGTTCTACTCCCAATTACACAGATTTTGCTGACAAGATGATTCCAAACTATTGACTCTGAGAACACAGGAATAATTCCGGAGTCTTAGCTGTTTCCCCTTCCCTCCTCTCAAGTCTCGTCACTAGTATCTCAGTAGGTTCTTACTGGAGTCACCAATACCATTTCTCTGCTCGAAGAACAGAAACCCAAGGCCATTTGTGATCCGTTTCTTTACCCAGATACTGAACCACTGAAACTGCCACCGTAATTCCTAAACACCTTAACATCCCTAACCGTCGTCCTGCTCCCTGCCCAAAAACATACGCCTTCCACAGGAAGAGGTAGCATTTAGGTTGTACCAAAAAGCACCCTTACGTTTTCGAATGCTCTCTAGGAAGCTGGTGAGCAGCACATTCACCGTCTCAAGGGCACATTCTTCCCTGCAGACATCAACAGTGGAGGCTGCTTGCTCACTAAGACCCCCACATGCCACAGGGCTAGGGAAAGGACTAGGGTTCTCTGAGCTCCTCAGGGCCCCTTCCAGACAACTACTCCATGATGTTCTCCCACAGAAAGCCCTCCCAGACGGAGTTCACAGTGCTTCAGCTGTACTGTCCCTAAGCACCCAAATTCACTGAAGAACTTGATACTTTGCCACCCCGACCGAGTCCTGTCAGCTCCCTCGAGGATTTCAGGGTGTATCAATGAATCTCATGGTATTTTCACTGCCGTTCCATTTTAGCCAGCCACAGCCTGAACTAGATTCTGGACTTGGTCATAGCTCAGAACTCTGACCTCTGAAATCTACTAATTGTCTGGTTTTGGTCCACAGTCCTTCCACCTCTCATCTTTCTTACTCTGTATCTTTAACTTCACCAGAAACCCAAACCCACTGCTGCTGAATCAATTCTGACTGACAGCAACCTTACATGACGGAGGAGAACCGTCCCATAGGGTTTCCCAGTGTTAGAAATGTGGTCCATGGACCAGCAGCATCAGCCATCACCTGAGAGTGTCCTAGAAATGCAGACTCTCAGACTCCAGCCTAGACCCACTGAACCGGAGTTTGTATTTTAACAAGATCCCCAGGTAATTCATAAGCACTTTAAAGTTTGAGAAGTGAGACCACATGCATCATTTTTACAAATAACTACTTATACCCAACACCAACCTTGTCACCACACCCAATTCAACACAAAATCCCACCCTGAATTTCCAACCCCAGACCAGACAGCTGTTGCTGCTAGGAGACAATCACATAACCATGCAGACTGGTAACCCTGCGATCTTTAGTCACGTAACCATGCAGACTGGTAACCTTGCGATCTTCTAG